CTAACCGGTAAACTCAATTGGGTCTGTAAGGTCGTTTATGGGGGTCGCACATTTTTGCGACGCCTAATTGATGCTCAATGGATATACAGCGCCCACATCATCATATACGTGTGTCCGCTAGCATACGATTAGACCTGGAATGGTGGGCGCAGTTTTTGCCGCAATTTAACGGTCAAACGGAATTGATTCCCAGCAAACCGCTTTCCTTTGATGATTTCTCAACAGACGCTTCGTCAAGTTATGGGTACGGGGCATTTCTCCAAGGGGGATACTTTCTTTCTCATTTGCAGCTGCGCAGGCTATTTTCCCGGACGCCCCGGAACCGTCTGACCCAATTCATATCCACGAGTTATTTGTTGTCGTCATTTTGTGTAGGTTATTTTCAACGGCTTTGAGCGGGCTGCATATTCGCCTGCGTATTGACAACACCATCGTCGTTTCTGTGGTGAATAAGGGCACAGCAAAAGGCGCAACTGGCCCCAGAATGATGGAATATGTTCGTGACATCTTCTGGCTTTCTGCTAAAAATAATTTTCGACTTACCAGCTCTTATATTTCCACCGAAGATAATTCTCTTGCCGATTCTCTTTCCCGCGGCGACTTTCCGCGGTTCCAAATCCTTCTGGCTGCCTGGAAAGCTGGCCGTCATTTGGAACTCAAATCCTGATTTTTATATCCCTACAGATGCTAATCCACCCCTCCCGGCGCTGCTCGACAAGATGGCCGAGTACATTATGCAATGGCTGGCGTCATCCACGCAGCGCACATATGGCGCGCATGTCAGGTATTACCTCACCTTTTGCTCCTCGTACGATTTTCGGCCTATGCAGCCGGACGAATTAACCGTCTGCCTTTACGTAACCAAATTAGCTGAGACCTGCTCCTATCGCACGATTAAACCGTATCTCAACGGCATCAAGGTTTTGCATCTGGAAGCTGGTTTCGTAAACCCCCTCCCCGCAATGTTCAATCTGGAACGCACTTTGCGGGGGATAAAGCGGGTTAAAGGCGATGTGCAAGCAAACCGCAAACTGGCGGTCACCCCAGACATTCTGTCCAATATACTTCGTCGTCTCGATCTGTTTTCTCCAGGCAATATGGCCTTTGCAGCTGCAATGTTAGTTGCCTTCTTTGGATTTTTCCGTAAGGCTAATGTCTGCCCGGTTCAAAATGGAACCAACCCTGTGCTCGACCAATCCCCGGTTCGTCGTGGGGACTTTGAATTGTCTCAGGATATGTCTTTAGTTTGGGTTAACCTGCGTCGCACAAGAACTATCCAGTTTGGTCAACGGACCCTACGAGTGCCCCTCCCGGTTATTCCCGGCTCTGTGTTATGCCCAGTTAACGCCCTTAGCCGCCTATTTGCGGCTGTGCCTACTGGCCCCGACTCCTTTGCATTTTCCTTTACCGACCAATTGGGTCGTCTAACCAGCTTAACCCACAAGAGTTTTGTAGCGCAATTTAAGGAGGCCTTATCTGCGATTGGTCTTGATTCCGCCCGCTATGCCGGGCACTCTTTCCGCCGAGGTGGCGCGACTTTCGCTTTTCAATGTGGCGCTTCCCCTGCGCAAATTAAAGAGCAGGGCGACTGGAAATCGTCCGCTTAACTCTTGTACCTTGAGTTTGACGACAACGCGCGGGCGCGCGTCGCCTCGCTTATGGCGCATTCCATTCTCCTGACGACTTGGCGGTTCCCCGGTCATCCTCCCCACCTGCGTCATCCCCCGGCCTGAAGACCAAGACTTGTAGCCTGCTAGATAGTGACCGGTAGCTGACTTAGCGGTAAGCCCGACCGGGGCCTTGGAGGGTAGGCTCGTCCGTAGAGTTAATTTCAGGGGGTGATGAAGACCTTGTAACATCACCCCCCTCTACAGATTAAATAAAAGGCGGACTCTGCCTATTGCCCCCAAGTCGTTTGAAATATTCACAAATATTGGGTTGGTCAGGCGCACAGTAAAGGTGGCAGCAGCATTTTGACCGACTGCAAAACATCTGCGAACTGCTCAATTGTATCTGTGCGCTAGAGTTAGTGCAGCCTGTTGGAGCTGCAGCAAAATTGATAACGGACACGAGCGCCTCATGCGATTCATAGAGGTGTAAACAGAGCAACGCGTTCAACAATGCAAAAATCGGAACATGTTGGCGTCCTCAGATACTTCCTGACAAAGCTGAGTTGCAGTCTGAGGTAAACGGCCGCGTCATGGCGGGGGAGGGAAACGTGCTGATTCAGCCGCAGGGGGACAATGCTGGCGCGCCGGACGTGCGCATCATCTGCAGAGTGTAAGCAAACCTCGTGTTTTGGCTGCTATAGTTGGTCCGCCATGTTATCTTTGTTTCGTATCACAAGATTGATCTCGGTTGGTTTGAAAGCCGGTCTAGCGCTGTACGGATGAGGCATTTCATCTTTGTCAATCTCGCTCTTGTCTTCAACAGAGATGGTAAAACTTTTCATGGTGACACATCTCAAATGGTGAAACCTCTCAAATAATGAAACTTTTCGGATGGTGTTTTCTCTGAGAGCAGGCAGGTTGATCACAAAACAAGAGAACCAATCAATCTTACAAGAATGTTTCCCGTTCGTGAATTTGTTTGTCTCAAGCTTGACACCGCACCATCAAAATACTTCCAAGTCAACAAATTTTTTCTTGGCATTGTATGCTTAAAAATGTTTGACGGGGACCATGGCACCTTTTCCCTCGTGTTGCTGAAACCACCACTCTTACTCCGGAGTTGTCAACTAGTTCCGCTTTGATTGCTGATGACAATCTGCATCACAATAAAACTGCAACCTGGCAGCCTCTGTGTCGCAATCCGCTTGCTCCTTATCATGAGAACTCGATCAGACAATATGCGATTGGGAATTGAGCTGGTCAGCCTGGATTACTGGCACCTGACCGAGGTCTTGTTGCCTGGTTATAGTGCTTCTCCATCTGCTAACAAAAAGTCCAAACGAAAATACTTGATCTCTGTATGCTAATATTGGATATGATGAGGGAATGGATTTATCCAAAATTCAGTTAGCACTGGATCTTAGTCGCTCAAGGGCAGAGTAGGACCTGGCAATGCCAACGCTTAACTACCGGTAGGTCTGCGCAGCTGGCTTTTATGCTTGTGATTCCCAGTACGGGCAACTTATATCTGGACTGAACCTCTCTTAAACTTTCATATATTCCTCTCCCTCTGCTGAATTCACTTTTATGATCCACCACCATCCCCTGTCCGGTGTATGAACAGCTCCGATCACCAACTATTTCGTGTATGCATTGGTGCGATCTGAATTCCACCCTTATCTACCTTGGTACTCATTTCTGTGTACCAGCCACTTTCTTTTCTTTCTCTTGGCACCGCGATTGGTCAAGTGCATGAAGAAAGGCCTGAAAATGGGAATGAGAACTTGCCTCCTGCAGGTGCCAAAAGCAATGGTCCAAGTATGCTTGCCCCCGCTGCAACGTGCGCTACTGTTCGCTCCCCTGCTACAAGGTGAGTCTTTCAAGCTTACACGTTGAAGAGGTCGTGTTTTCGCTTCTAGTTTACTTTCCCTTTCTGATGGCACTCTCTCTATGTGGCTTCCCGCTACATGAAGTGCACGGGTTCCGCCTTTCTGTTGCTACAGATTGACATCAACCTGCAAGCCTGTCGAGCAAATGGACTGATGTTAATTTGGGCATTCGGTTTCTTCCGATGGTGCAACATCAATTGGACGCCTCGTTCAACTGAAGTCTTGTGAAAAATTGGTGACGTTAGGATCCCTGTTGGCTCGTCAGTCCGCTCACCCCTACTTGTTCGGCCCAGCGGACTCGACCCAATTTCAGGATTACATGCTTGTGAAAGGCATTTGCTCTCAGAGCACGGTTTGCATGCGCATTGGGGCATGTCTTTCGGTTCGATGTAGCAAAGGCTGTCGCAGGGATTGCCATGTATTTGTGCGGTTAACAAGCACAGTAACAAGCACTCCCGAGGTTCTACCGCAGTGGTCTCGGATCCGAGGATGGCCTTTTGAGCTCGTTCAGACCAAAGGCGTCAAGACCGGAGGCTCCGATTCTCAATCCATCCGGGTTGGTTTTAGTTGCAAGCCGGTTTGAAGCACCTTGTCATTGAGGTCTAACCTGACGTATGGAGTTGGCAACCAGCGACTGAGGGAGGAGTTATAATATTTTTCGAGCGCAGAAGGACAGTGCCAATGAAGGTTTTGATGAGAATCCCCTTAACAGCGGGTCTGCTGGCCTCACCGTTTTTTTGAAGTGCACAAACTTTGCCCTTGGTTCAGAGTTTGGTCCGAACTTACTAAGGAAAGGGGGATTGTAAGTCAATCTGTACCACATAGAAATACCAGAACTAAATTGAAGTTGTGCGGGCTTATTTAGGCGCATAGCAGTCGTTGCACGGAGGGCTTCTATCGCGAGAATGCGGAAAGCGAGCTGCGGCAGCGGAAAGCGGATCCGGAGGAACGGCGGAAGATGCTGCAAACGCTGAAGCGGATGCAAGAGGCTGAGGGGGCCGAAGGTCTAGACGATTTGGGGCTTGAGGGGGGGTTCAATTTGGCAGAGGGGGAAGGGGGGGGAGACTCAGATACGGAAGAGGAAGAAGAGATGGAGGAGGGAGGGGGGTTCGAGTTATCGGAGGAGACCCTCCGGCGGCTGAGTGACAAAGGTGGGTTTCACGAGCTTCTCTTTCTCAACACTTCGTTAGTTTTCCAAGACCGGGGATCTTATATTCAGCTGGTGACGCGATCGCCTTGCGAATGCTGTACTGACTGCCCTTCCGTAAAGGCGGGAAGACGGTAAGGTCAAGTCAATTTGCCCTATGCTGTTCGCTTCCTGTGATTCTCTGGTTCCTCAGGATTAGAGATTTTTGTGAGGTGTGGCGCATCCGGGGCAGTAACAGACCCTAGTAAGCAGCTTGCTGCTTGTCGCGTTTGAAGGATTCGAGTGGTGGAAACCCGGTACGATTTCTTTCCTGTGTAAAGTGCGGCTGTCATCAGTATTCTTTTCGTTTGGGGCCGGGTCTCAGCGGCCTCTTTCAAACCCCAGGCCTTTGATTTGCTGCTTGCTACCGCGGATGTGCTTGGTGGCTGCACTACGAGCTATGTGCTCTTGAAGTAACCTGGGAATTATTTGACGACCTCTTTTCTGGCTTTGATGTGTTTCTACATCCTTCATTAGGTCGTCCTTGCTTCTATCCTTTCCTCACTTTTGTCAAGTTGATTCATGTCCTCTCTTTAACCGACAACCCGTTGCTTGTCATCTGCTCTTGTCTGCTTGTCGACAGAGTCACATTCCGAAATGCTCAAAAGGAAAAACGCTCCTTTTCCCAAGGGTAAAAGGTCAGGTAGCGATCTCTCATTCGACGACATCGCCCTCCGCAAGACGATTCAAGTAAGAAGAGTCGTCTCTTCTCATTTGAGACGACTTCAAATGAGAAGACCGATCCCTAATCGACCTCCTTTCCACCAAACGCGCCGACCCTTTTCATTCAAACAAAGACAAACTCTCAAAACAAAGTAAGTTTTGAAACGCCCCTTTCGCCCATTTCAGGTAGCGACCTCTCACTCGACGACCTCACTTCCACCGAACGCGCGTCCCTTCGCCAAGCCGCAGCCTCCGGCGCCCTCAGCCGGTTCATCACCCCCTGTGAACCGTGGTACCTATCCCCCGAGGCAAAACAGATAAGGATCAGTCCGACTGGAACCCGACCGGTTCGTGAGATTTTGGTAACTGGGGGGGCCATTCACACCTCGGCCAAAACGCGTGCAGAGGAAGCGTTTGAGAAGCTGACCGGGGCTCCGGCGAGCGGCGTCAGCAGGGGGGAAGGAGTGACGAAAGCAGCGGAACGGAATGGCTCGTCGAATAGCATGCAAGTCGAGAGGGGAAGCTGCGGTGACGTCAGCAGAGAGGACAAGCAGTTTGGCCCGGAGGCCGCTGACGTCAGCGGAGAGAGCTTTATGCCAGCTCGCGGGGGGGCCAGTCGATCTGCCTCGGGCCACCCCCTGCAAGGTGACGTTGACACAACTCACGCTGACGTCAGCATGGTGGGCGCTGACGAGAGCGCCGAGGACGCTGACGTCAGCACGGAACGCGAAGACGTCAGCGAAGAAGAGGCCCGCCCCAGCATCCCCCCCCCGCTAGAGGAAGACCTACCCCCGCTCGCAGCACTCACGAAAAGCCCCCCTTCCCCCCTTCTAGGGTTTCATCTGACAAGCGTCTTATACGCGTACTCTTACGTCCTGCGGCTGTTCAACGGGGACTGGGCGGCGGACCCGTTAGACGCGGCGGGGATCTTGGTGGAGGTTTCGCCGGTGCTGAGCGATGGGGCGATGCCGGCCTCGGGCGAAGGTAAGGAGACTTTGTCTTTCGCTCTTGAGTTTCTAAGTCTGGTTGGCTGACATCCGATCCAAGAGCTTGTAAACCCCGGGGGAGCATAAACGTCAAACTCACGGGCCAATCGCTCAAATCAATCAGGAGCTCCGAAAACGATGCGCCCAAAATCAGAAAATGGATCACCCGCACTCCCATCTTATAAGGCGTCAGAACAGCTCAGAAAGACTTCAGCTCATGTTGAGCGACTTCATTTCCAACGTTAAGTACCATCTGCGCGACAACCAGTACGATTTGCAAGGTTGCTCTTGATATGCACCAGTGGAATAAGATTGTGGGCTAGTCAGGGAGTCGCCGTTTGCATGTCTTTCTTCTTTCTTTCTTAGGTTCTGCGTGTTTACTCGTTCCCGGTTGCGACCTCGTCTCAAACGCCGGATAGAGATGCATTAACATGCATGCATTTCAATGAACATCGTAAGCCGTATGTAACTGGTACGTTATGCGGCTGTTCGACTCGAGGCAGACTCTTTTCCTGCTGCGGCAAAGGTGCTGGTGGACGTTTTCCCGGTGCTGAGCGAAAGCCTCAGTCGGATGTAAGGAGAATTTGTCATTCGTTCTTGACTCACTTCTGGTGTCGGGTTTCCCATTCTTTGCGTAGAACGCACTCGTAGAAAAATCACCCTCGCTGAGCACTGCACGATGCCGGTCTACAACCGTTTTTATGCAATCGTTCTTGTATCTGGAACAGTACTTTTGAACTTTTGTCCGAATAATCCGGGAAACCGCAGAAAAAGGGGTGTTCCCTATCAGATCGGAAGACGAACAAGTTTTGAAGAGAGCTAAAGGGCCAAAACGGAGGGGATTGCGGTTTCAAAGGGTTCAAAAGGGCCCACTACGAGGATGAGCAATCACCCCCTGTCAGATACCCTCGGCTGCCCCTTTGATCTTCCTCTTTCAATCCCTTTCATCCTCGTTGCTGTTCTCCTTCATTCCGCAATAGCCTGTCTCCTCACAATTCTCCACTTCTGCTCGCACTCTTTTCTGCTTTCCGCCACCCCTCTCGTCGGCCCACGCTTTTCATTCTCGTTCAGTTCCTCTATAGTCCTTTCAATCGCGTCCTTTTAACCTCAGAATCTGAATTTCGCCCGACCCTCCTTTTGCTACACAGATGCGCTCCACGGCTGCCTTGAAAGGGCCTGTTCACCCTCGCTCGCCGGGCACGGCGGGCGCGCTTTTGCAAGGGGTCTTCTGGGCGATGTGAATGCGCTCCTGTCTCTGGGCCGCCCCGGGGTGGTGTGCGCACTCGCAGATGTGCAGCGAATGCTTTTGGCGGCGCAGGGGGAAAGGCAGTTGGCGGGAAGCACCGGGGCGGGGGGGGCTGCGCAACTGACGGCTAGGGGGGGGAACCGGGGAAAAACGGGTGGAAAGCCAGAAGGTGCTTCGGAAGGGGGGGGCAAGCTTGAAGGGGTCAGTGGCGAAAGCGGCGCACCGGGAAAGAGTTCTGCTTCGACGTCGAAAGCGAAGGCTGGCCAGAAAATACAGGGGGTGAAAGGAAGCAGTCAAGGAAGGGGGGGGTCCGGAAAGAGCGGAGACAGTTCCAGAGGAACGAGTTACAAAAAGGGAGGGGCAAAACGTCAGCCGGAGCTTGTGCGGCGGAAAGTGTTTTTCTTTTTGGTGTGGGCGAACGAGCAACCGGATCCGGTCTTTTGCGCGCTGGCAGCGGCCGCGAGTGAAATGTGGGAGGGGGAGAAGGCGCGTTCCGAAGCCGAGCAGAGGGATCAAAACGGAGCCCAGAAGTCGGGCATTATTGAAGAGCTTTAGAACGTAGATAATCAAAAGCGGGAAACTGAGATTTCAGACGGGTAACATGCAACGAGTAACCAGTAGCGGGAAGTAGAAAGGCGGCGTAACTCTGAGCAGGCGAAGAAGTAGGGACGAGATGTAGGTGCTTCAAGATTGAGTACGTTAGATTACCGTTCAGCGACTAAGACATCGAGTTAGGAGCTTGATACCTGCCTTACTTGTCAAGTGGCTGAGAGGGGAAACGCTTTACGACCTGAGCTTCAGCGGAGCGCAGGACAGGAATTCGGGACGTTTTTGAAGCTTAGAGTTCGTTAGAATGATACTCAATTCGATCAGTCACGTCTTTCAGGGGCTTGTGCAGGTCAGGGGGGCCGAAGCAGGAACAAGAAAGGATGTGAACTGCTGCCAGAGCACAAACCGTTTTATATAGGGTAGTAGAAAGAGGCAAAAGTTGAAGTCGTCCGTTACTGAAGAGTCGCCCGGCCCGTACGTTTTTGGTGCGGCAGATATCGACGTGAACCTTGCCATTACGAACTACTGGCATTCAGGAGTCAGTGCGGGCCTCCGATCCAGACAGTGACAGAATTCAATCATTTGCGCGGCCGCTCGTATACTTGCTGCTCAGTGCAGACTGCATTCATAACGATTCGTCACGTGCTTGGTGAACGGTCCGACAGATCTGATCAGAACACTGCATGAGCTCACATACAACAGATCGTTGCATGCATGACTTTTCGATCAAAGCTGCCAGTATACAACGGTCGATCGATCAGATGATCGAATTGAATATACCATTTTATTGATTCAATGGACTTGTCAGTTACAGACCGTCCATCAATGCATATACTCGATCATGGCGTGCCAGATCATGGCATGCGCCATCGATGGCCGTACGTCACGGCGTTTATGGTGCCTAGCTGGGCGGCATGCCATGCCATCCCATGCCAATGATGCATGGCTAGTAAATAAGCATGTACGCACGTGCATTAGTAAGAAGTTGGCCCAAGGAGGCAGGCCTCATCAGATAGTGACATGATCGAAACTTCAAGCGCCACTGCCATGCAACACCTTAGTACTGAGCTTTTGATCGAACCTAGTATCGTTAGTATTCGCGTGCGCTGTTTGGCGATCGTACTCAATGATATCAACAATGATGTAGTGCCGATCATATGCTAACACATGTGTGCCATGCAAGAAGTTGTACGTCATTACCATGCAGAGCTGGCCAATCGCAACAGTTTAACAGTTGCGCACTGCACTGGCCGGCGCCGCGTCCGACATATCAGTTTGCAGCGCGCGGCGAGCTGGGCAGGGTTTGCATGGAAAGTCTTCAGGCGGAGTGTAATGTGACTACAAATTATTGGCACAATACCGAAGCGGACTCATATAATTCGAGCATCCACGAACTAACCTGAGTTGATTCATTTCGAAGCGTTGTGTCATTTCTACTAGCTTCGCTGGTTAGTACGCGATGGTTCAGACATATTCACGGGAATGTACAATGAAAGCGAGAACTATATTCTAAAGATCATGGGGTTCTGGTGAATTCTCTGAAGCACTCTGCGGCAGAGGCCCCCTTCTCCCTCTCAAGGGTTCCGTACTTGCCGTAACTCCGTTTCGGGTCGAAGGCGTCGTGCGTCGTGTTACTCAGCGGCTGGCCTCCTGCAAAACGTGAATCGGTCAGATTTCATCCTGAGCCATGTGGGCGCAAATCATTGACGGTTGAAATACGCAGTAGCCAAATCGCCAACTTTCGTGACATGGACTGATGTTAGAACTCAGGTTCTGAAACGAGACCGTGACACTTCGGTTGGAAGAGGAGAGTAACTAGTTGGAAGAGGAGAAATGAAAGCGAAGCCGCTTAAACCACCACCCAACCTATAAAACCGGGCAAATTCGATGCTGACGTGGCATAAATTGCCAACGGTCGTCGAGATCGGGCAATTCAAACGGTGACTCATGGGGCGCATGTTTTTGAACACTCAAAATGGCGTCTACCCAGCACGATAGCAGCATCCAACCTTCACCAAATTTGACGGTGTCAGGCTTGCTCGCCTGGAACAGGCCCCGTTGAGATGCGCTCCTTTTCCCGGCTCTTCAAACGGCCAAAAACAAGGCCTGTAAGCCCTAAAAAGCCACACTCAGCTTATTTGAGCTATTCTTGGTGGTTTGAAGAGCTGAAAAGCCTGGCGCCTTCTTGCAAGGCCTCTCTGTGGCGACTGAGCTTGACACCGCCACTGAAAAGCATGATTTGGGCATGCTATGAGCTGGGCAAATGCTACATTTCAGTGCCAAATGCGTGCGCCCCATGAGCGCAACTTGAACTTCACACGTGAAGTTCAAGTTATGAAATTGGCCAGCATTGCTGGCCCATATGTACCGGTTGGGTGGTGGTTTAAGTTATTCAATGATGCTCCGTACGTGACAAGCGACACTGTTTTCGACCGGTCTAGAATTCACTATCGTTTGCGGCCCGGCTGATTTATCCAGTGGAGCGCTTCCAAGTCAGTTTTCGTACAGAGAATCAGTGCGATTGTCAAAATCTCGACTCGGATTTCCTCAAAACATTTTGGTGCTTCACAAGAAACAGTTTGCCTCTCCTTGTGGTTTGTGCCATTTCAACAGAGCACGCTGACCTTAAAGCGCGGCCGATTCCCTCCAACGCTTTGCTCTGGGGAGCTGGCAACCGAAATGGATTACGACTCCTAAATGACAGATCGAGAAATTGAAACGGCTGTCTACAGCAAAGCTCGTTAGGAGCTGGGTCTTTGCAGAACAGCCCAAATCGTTCCTTTTTAGATCTTCTAATGCTTCTTTGGAGCCAAAGCCCCATCCAAATTTCAGAGGTAGAGACGCTTCACGTAGTGTTTGCTTCGTTCGAGCATCCTCACCCGTGATGATATTGTGCGTTGGCAGCTGTGACGTCTTCGCGCCCGCCTTCGGCTGCGCGCGCACGCGCGCCGTCGCAGCTGTGACGTCACTCTGGAACGCCTGTGACGTCGTCCTGAACTGCGGGGAGATCGTACCGAGCGCGAGCTCGGACCGCCCGGGTTTCAAGGAGCGCGCCTGGTAGTCCCGCGGGTTGCCACGTGGCGTCGGTTCGAAGTCGGCCTGCTTGCTCGTTCTGTAAAGTCGTTTCGTCCAAAGGGGAATCAGGTTTTTCGAAGTCTTTCTTTCCTGTTTACATGTAGTACCACTAGGCTTTTTATTGATGGGAGGGGGTAGCCAACAGCAAAGGCCTTCCAGACCCCTCTTGAAAACCTACCGTCGCATAGATCCCATATTCACAGAAATGGTTGCTTCGATCCGACCAATCGCATCAAAACATGTGTGAAATTATACTTTATAGCATCACGTTGACCTTGGGAAGTACTATCGTAGCGACTCGGAAGGGTGATACGACCGGTACAAACTCCCAAAGCGTATTGCGAACTTGCTGTAAGTGGAGGATGTCCGAACTTCCGCCACAGAAGTTCTCTATCTTCGATACAATCTTCTTCTTAACACGAGGCTTCGGGCTGTGTGAATGGAATACTCCCATGCACAGCATTTTGTCATGAGGTTGTCAACACAAAATGGATCACGGGTTGCTTACGTATATTGCGCTGGGTACGTTTCTCGAGGGACGTTGGAGTGAGTCTTGGACGGCATAGGCTGAAAGCGAGAGCAACAAAAGACCGAATTAGAAAAGCCATTTCAGCTGTAATTAAAACCTGTACGAGAGACCGTCGGACGTTCCAGCAGGTTCTGCCAACACATCCACACTTCGTAGATGAGCCGCTTTTTTCGACCCGAAGTAAGGAGCCTGCCTCGAGCTGACATGTGTAAGCAAAACGTATCATAAGTGCATGCAAGCCCGCGCCAAACCACCTAAGCGCTGGTTGAAATATATAAGCCGCCGTCGAGTATAGCGTATAAGCGCCCACCTGCCGTTGATAGACCACCCCGGGGTCCTTGTACCGGTCGCTTGTCTCTGAGTTTGACTGGGAGGTGCTGGAGCCGTTGTCTGCCGCTGCAGAAGTCAAAAAGGACTCGCTGACGTGAGCGTGACGTGACCGGAGGCTCGGGCCGTTGGAGGCGCTCGCTAAGGGAAGGGTAAACTTCAGAATTGTCCACTTTAGAATTTTATATTGAAACCCGATTCACGGACGCTCACGTTCACAACCTTATTGAAACCACTCTTCGACCTACAACGTCCCCCTCGCAACGTTGATTCACAAAGCCTGAAAGCCCGAGCGGAAAGACTGTCAGCTAGTTTCGGGTGGTGTTCACGAAGGCTGCAGGCAACCCATGCCGCGAAAGAGCAAGGTTTCTGGGCAGCGGGAATACTGAAAGGCAGTTTCTGTGTGGTATGGTCGAGTGCTAGGGTGCATCTACTGCGAAGACGAACCAGCTCAGACGAATCCACGCCAGAAAGCTGGTGTTTCTGTGTAACCTCTATAAAATACACGAATTACTTCCTCTGTTGTAGGACAACGAATGCGGATACAGATTAAAAGAAATGAACGGACGCGTCCTTTTTGGGGACCTAGAAAGCTGCCAAGCTGATCTAGAGATTTAGCAATGTCTCCGACTTTTCAACCTGCACCACCGTCCCTGACACTCCCTTGCAGTTCCACGTATCTCACGGCATTGGCGAGTGACCACTGGTGTCAACGGTTCTGGGGAAACGCTGGCTGACTCCGAGCTCACCTGTCCACATCGAAAGTTGAACTGCTGAACAACTTTGACTATTTGTGGCACAGAAAAGCCATTGCCCATTTGCCCCAGCGTGCCGGCCACATCCTAATGTTATCAACTGAAATTAGGATAGGCTGCTCCACCAATTGTTGCCGTCAAACTCAAAGAGTGGCCACCAAGTTTCGACGTCTGCTCAGGAAAAATCAGCACAGCCGGGCAAACGGGCAGAAATGAGCTCTTCAGCTCCTCGCTTTGATTGCGTTTAAAGAAGAGACGCACGTTACAGAGGTCCGTTTCGATTATAACCCCAGCACAATGCTGGCAATACAAAGCCAATAGCTGACCGAAAGAGCTGACCAAACGAAGGCCCATAGCTCATGGGAACAACGGCTATAGCTTACCGAGGTTCCATCGCTGCTCGAAAAATGACGAGCACGGCCCAATCACTCTGCTTCCGGACGGCCTGCCAGCTGGACAGCTGTCTGAATCGCGTCCGCTCGTTGCTGCTTTCTCGGGGAGTGTATACCCACGGTCATTTGCTAGCTCGGCGAAGGACTTTGTTTCGGATTGGGGCAACCGGCGCGGGGGGTAGTTCGTTTTGTACTCCCCCTCAAGGAGGCTGGACAGCATTTTGCTGTTGGGGGCTCTTGTCAGCTCAGGAATAGCTTTATAAGCTCTGGGTGCCACTCCTAAGAGAAGATATATATGGAGTCTGTGTCGAGTGTAGTCTTTCTTCTACACACATGGGTCGTTTCTCGGCTTTGGGCGGCTTGTCAGCTTAGTTGAGTTGATCTGCGCCGCCCTTTCATTGTCTGGTTTTGGAATCGAAGGGATTGACACGATCTTGCCGAAGGATGTCTGGGTCGGCAATACAGTCCCCTGACTCTAAAGGATTGCAGGAGAGTAGGTCGAGTGGAAACGAGCCAATCGTTGGAAAGCAGCTGACTTTGCATGCCCACGTCTTTCTGGCCACGCCAAGAAAGGCGGCTTCTGTAGAAGGCTCTAAGATCATTCAGTGGAGCTAGCGTCTGCCTGGAGCGTTGCCGTAGACTTCGTTTCTTATGCTCAGCTGGGGCGACCCGCGATAAGACCCAAAGCTCGACAGGCCTGCCGGGTTGCTCCTAATTTTTAGAAAGTCTGGTTACGCAGGGCATTTGAACGACGTTCGAACTGGCTTGGTTGCCTGCAGAAGAGGCAAAAATCGAAACGGATATCCTGAAACCCTCCTTCGCCAAAACCGGTCTGAGAATCAGCGAAAACGGGGACTTCGAATGACAAGAGTGCTCGGGTTGGTAGGATAGCTAGATTGAACGGTTAACGGCGGGTTAACGGCAATCTGGCCAGATCACAGGCCAGCTAATGCCCGGTATTAAAGCTGCGCCGGTATAATATTATTTGGTTTCGGCAATACCTATGTCTTTAAAGTGGGCGTCGGATTTCAAAGCCTGGAAATGCACACTAGTGAGTCTGAGTCCTGAGGAGAGCCTCGAAAAGGGCAACTCTGAGCCGTCCGATAGATTCAACTTGGACGTTAAAACCGTCCGATGTCCAGGTGCACTCGCGAGTGCATACGCCCACTTTAACGAGTCCCGGCGTGTTTGTCCACGAGAAAACCCCCTACGACGCGCGCACAGATTTTGAAAGAACATCGTCCGTACAAGAACCCGCATTCTGGAGCATATCGACGGTGCCTGACGATTGCCTGAGCTGACCACGGCCGCGGCGTAAGGCACCGGCCGCAGTGCGCGCGCGGGGCCGGGCCACGGTCCGAACGCGGCCGCGGCCTAAGCCCGGGGGCCAACTTAACTGCCTATGAGCCTGCGCGCTGAACTTAGAAAGCCTACGTAATTGCAGCTATACTTAAAGGGCTTTTGCAGGCTAAGCTCTACTGCAATCATCAGGCTGATGCATGCATGAAGTTGGCCAGTGGAACGAATTCCGGGTGACGCATTCAATGATATATGCATTACGGCCAGATAAACATTGGAGCGGGCGGACGGTGCACCGAATGATTTGCACACCTCATGATGTGCACACATGCATGACATTGACCCTGCCGCACGGGGCAGCCTCATGCCGCGCATGAGATTGACCCTGCCTCAGGCGGGCCAATAAGATCAGGACGTTCAATCAACGAACGAACTTGCCAAGACACCTCGGCAAGCCTGGATCACTAATCAATGGTAGCAGATTTTATACAAAGGTCATGCGGAATACTCCATACCAAGCATACTATGATCGATCCCGTGGCATGGCCCATGCCTGCAAGGCTCATACTTCAGTACTGGAATTCAACGGTCACGTGGACTGATTTGGAGTCAAGCACGGCAGGTTCTTTTTCGGTCAGGCCCATCCCTTCTGCGCGAAGGATGACAAGTCGCACTGATTAAAGTTTTTGATGTGCGGGATTGCGTGATATGCCCTGATGAAAGATACTTGCTCCCCGCCCTAAGGCTGCTTTGCTTACTTCTGGATATCTGCACTGATTGACTCAACCTGAATTGTTTCGCAAGTGATTTGCAGCTACTTAGCTAATCAGCTCTAATCTGGCAACCTAGACCGCGATTGTTGAGCCTCAAATCTTGCCGACAGTCATGTCCTATACAGCAGAGCAGGTTAATAAATATCATTTGCGTAAGTCCCTATCGCCCTGCAACGGAGAACCTTTGATCGAGCTCTACGGCCAGCCGCATCCGGACCCATTCAGTCATTGACGACTTTGCTTTTACAAACATAACCTGCAACAACGGGGCAGAACCATTTTCGTTAGATTCGAAACAAACATGACAACAAATCAACGGCGCAGAACCATTTTTGTGAAAGAAACATAACCTGCAACAACGGGGCAGAACCATTTTCGTTAGATTCGAAACAAACATGACAACAAATCAACGGCGCAGAACCATTTTTGTGAAACAAACATGACAACACCTAAGGGCTGCAGCGAATCTTGGAGGAAAGCGACTGTTTTCACGTTCATGTAGATGAAGCGCTTCACATTCGAGTAGGACGATGAAGTCGACGCTCGGCTGACGGAGAGCTGCAACATCTCAGAAATTTCGCATGGAAAACTGCTCGGTAGCTGGATCCGTATCAATAACCGAGAAACACCAAATGCCCGGGCTGCATTCGGCACACTCTTTCAACGAAGACCTCAGATTAGCGGGGAAGAACAATCTTGTCGGGTTACGGCACAGCGGAATGTCAAGAAGCAAATCAACGTGTAGGAAACAGCACAGCTATTTGTCCAATCGACAAAGCAAAAGTCCATAAACGAAGCCATAAGCGAAGCTATAAGCGGAAGCCATGAGCAGAAGCCATAAGCGCTCACCTCCAGCGGCTGCGCATTGATCTCGTCATATCCTATGGGGTTCATAAGGTTGTTGCAGTCCCAATTTCTACGATCCCGCCAATCTAGTCCTCGGTACTTGGTCAGCAGCGAAGCTATATTGTAGCCCTCGTTTAGCAAGACCTAAATAGTGAAAAGGGAGCCTGATTCGATTAGAAGAAAGCGTCTGTTCCAGGCAAACTACCGCCCTGTCTTCGCTTGAAACCTGTCTCGAAGGTTCAGATCGTCAAATAGTCCCCGCTCTCGTTCTCGGATATACCAGAAGAAAGGAAGGCAGACGTTGCAAGTCTCGGACCTCCATTCACAACAGCCGAGAATGGGTTTTACCATCAAACTTCCTTCAGAGACTCCTGAGTAGCTCTTGAAAAGCTTACCTGTCTAGGACTTTGAAACGAGTCACCAGATACTGCGAAGCAAAAGCAGAACAAAGCAATGAGGACAGTCGGACCGAAACCCATCGTGGGCAAAAACTGTGAAGCGCAAACCGCTAGAAACGCCTAAATTAACTCTCACAAGATGCAACATGAACGAAGAGACAGAATCTTATGCGGGGGAACAAGAAAGAAGAGAAATAACTTTGAAACCGGTGCCCTCGACCGAGCTCCGGGACCGCAGGTGAGGAGAAGACATTGATACCAATAACCTTGAACGAGCTCTAAAACCACAGGAAGTCTCATCGGAGAACCGCGATATCAAGAAAAACAGCAGCAGCTCTTAGGTGTGACATTCGGAAGGGACACAACGATTGGCACAGACGTGACGAATCAGGGGTATTAAACGCCACAACGAAACGACGGGGACGTGGGAACGCATTTTGCAGACCAATGCTTGGCCCACAGGCATTGAGTATACATCCGTTCAACGAAGTGATGAAACAAACATTATAAGGTGGAAGAACTCGTATCATTGAGCCGCAACGGAAACAGTCAGAGAAAGCACGAAAGTGCTTCCCGTGCAACGATATTGCCCCCTTTCAGAACATTTTGGAGGATACATCCAAGGATGTTCCTTGTAGGGGAAACTTAGCAGGAGGACCTTTGCAGCGGGTCAATTCTGGCGCCACGGGGTTTCAATGGCTGTTGCAGCAAGCTCCCGTTGACTACGCGATTTACAGTCCGGCCTTGACCTAAGAAAACGAGATGAAGGATTCGCGATGAGAGGGGGTAACGCACCTTAGACGCCGCAAGCTCGCCCGTTACGATCGCGTCTACCCAACCCTGTTTACACGACAGTACGCCCTTTTCCAGCATGATCCCCAGCCCCACCTGCAGGTAAACCACAAATCAGTGTTGGGAAAGACAGATTGTACCGTTATCCGAGACGAAATATACCTTCGTCCAGAAGTTTCTTAAGTATGAGCATCGGCCCTAATTCCGGAAGTTTGCGATTCCGGACGGACAGAGCAGAAGCTTTACTCCGGACTTGATAAAGCAGTCTACCGAGCACGCCAAAAAAAATTGCACCAGTTCCAGTTCCGGATTGTTCGAACGCTAATTCGGAGACCGTGTGTCAGCTTACCGACTAAAGCTGCTAGGTCCGGAATAAAGGTTTTAGCTCTGCCTGTCCGGAATCGCAACTTTCCGGAATTAGGGCCGATATTCTTAGAGGCGATCAGACGCTAGCCTCAGCGGCACTAACCAATGAGGTCCATTGCAGCAATTGATAGATCAAGGCTCATATTTAAGAATCGAACATCTTGACTGTTGCCGGCCCTTTCTGGCGGTCGACGCTGACGAGTACTGGCTTGAAAATATTATGATTTGAACACTGTCTCCAGCATCTTCAGAAAATTATACTTGGCCGCTCATTCGCTCCGCACTTGCAGCAACTTTACGTCTCAACTAAATCGAAACACCGTTTCAGACAAATCAGCAAGGACGGGAGAGCCTGATCTCCGCCGCCACAGCTCGCGTGAGGCTTACACCAAATATAGAAGCTTTGGTCTGAAAAGATCGTAAGAACGGCTCTTGCTGAGCGCAGAAAGGCGCACTAGGTGGGGGCGAATACTACTCTCTGACAAGGGATAGTAAACCCTTTTGAAAGTCTCCGTCGAAGGGAGCGAGCTCCGAAAGAGCATCACATGGTGCTAGGCTTCCAAATGAGCGAGCCGTCAACCGGAATACTACCCACGCAATTTACTGCTCGTGGGCCCCTCGAAGAGCAAACACTCTTCAAGCACACGTCAGAAAGGTCTGGTCCTTTAGAAGGCGGTTTCACAAACATTGCCATGTATGATGAGTCCGCACCCTCTAGATCACAAGCATAGGTTGAATTCACTTAAAAAGAGATCACTTTCTTCTTCACTGAATATTTATGTGCAAGATACCCATCAAGCTTGATACCTATAAGGATCTAATACCCATAAGGAAGTACCCGGGGCAGCAACCTAACCAAAAACCCTAACCAACAAACATGACACGCTCCGCACCCGTACCTAAACTAACCACTATACCAACCCCACCCGTTCGCCGGGCGTGCCTTACAGCTCTTAATTTCTTATCCGCATTAAAGTTTAACCTTAATATGCAAGCCCTAAAAACTCAGAATCTTACGCATGCGGCGCTTACCTGGTCGGTGGCCATACAGTACGACTGCACGTGCGGTTTTCGGTCCGGGTCGTTTGCGCGGAACGATTGGCAGTTTATCGTTGGCCCCACCAGCTTGATGTCGTTGTTAATATTGGCCGTCAGGAGGGCATGCCACGGTTGAGCCTGCAACGGATAGAGCTACGGTTAGAATAGACTCCTAAGTAAAATATGGTCATGGCCCGGGGAAAGCGTGGGGTCAGTTTGGGGGTCAGAATGGGTGCGGGTGCGGAGCGGGTAGATCTGTCGGTTTGAGACTATTCGGATTTTCCTTTTCCCCGGGGGACTGCTACTATCCTACCTAGGAAGTATCCTACCTAAATTACACGAGTGTCTGTAACGGCCAATATTGTTCGTTCACCAGAACCACGCCCATTTTATTGGAATTAAGTCGATTGATTTTAAGAAAAGGACTTGTTACCCACTGCGCTTCTCAGAAAGGCGTGCCACGACTGAGCCTGTAGATATGTTACTTTGATTGGTTCACTTTATTGGGCATCATGTGCAATGTTCTGTGAACCTTGACATCTTCCATATTCAAACCCTTTCCGCTCTTTTGCGGAGGGCGTGCCACGGCTGAGCCTTTGACGACCACTTCTTGTTCTTTACTTGCAAGGATCTTACCATCGACATTATTGTTCTCTTTACTTGTCTTTTTTTTCCTTTCTTTTTTTGCGTGTGGAGAGAGGGAGTCATAAGAAACGCTTTCGGCACCGTTTCGAAGGAAGGAAACAAAGCAGTGTTGCTCAGCATCGCTTATGCAGATTTGAACTGTTTAACTAGACAAGGGTTCGACGAATACGGATCTGATTGAATGCAATCACTTCGTTTGCGATTCGCTGGCACCGACAGCGTTTGCACAATTCTACAAGAGAAGATACCAGCGGTCTTTGAAAAGATACGCCAACGAGCGAAGTCTTCCGTTTCAGAATACGTCCAAGACAAACATGTTTGTGATAAACTAAGATAGAGACGAGTCCAGGACTCAGGTAGATGCTTACAAGAGGTCCTTGTAAAAGATACGTTGGCAGGTACGGTCCCCGCACCGACGAATTCAGAAACAGTATGTACTTGTACGACTTGATGTCCAGCCCCAACTCCGTTGCGTTTCCGCTCAAAACCCACCCGTGCGTCCCCATGTCAAAACACTCGTTTGGGTGCGCCAAGAACCTGTAAACGAGGGTTATGCGCTGGGTTTAGACGACCTCGTTATAACGACAGAAGAAGCGTTCCCGGTCAGATCCCACACGTGTGCACCCATGTCGAAACACGAAAGAAGGTGCCTCAAGAATCTGCAATCAAGGGGTCAGTTCTGCCTTGGAACGCATGGAATTTAGGAGACACGGTCACTTTCCCGCTCAGAATCCACGACTCCTGCACCCATGCCAAAAAGCGCATTAGGGTGCGCAGAGGACCTGTGAAAGAAGGTGAAGGGCTGGGTTAGAGAAGGTAAATCGAGCGACGGGTGGTGTTCACGTTATCAGCAGCGACTTCACGTACGTTCCACATGTTGAAGCCACCCATGCGGCCCCAAGTCGAAAGACCCTATGGTGCGACAAACTTCGGTAGAGGAGGATTAAGCGCTGGGTTAAAACAGATTGTTTCTACGAACAGCTTCACTTTCAAATAATAAGCGATGCACCAACGTGCCATCGAGGTTACACAGAAGCAACCTGAAACCACTTGTAAGGCTCTGGCCGCTGCAAGCTAGTTGTGCGTGGATTCCCTGTCTTGAATCTCAGTCCTAAACAGCCTGCTCAGAATGGTACAACTGTGCGCCACACTTTTGGTCGCAGCTGTTGAACCAGATTGCCAAGCGGTCAACAACAAATCAGAATCAACCTCCTTGTCCTTATTTCTGCCAGATCTGGATGGAGTCCTGCGACGTACCGCAACAAAGAAGTTTTGCGTTGACCGGTAGGGCCTTCCCTGGGGCTCACGAGAAAGACGGGGAAAGCTCAAAGAGCACCCGTCCAACTAGAAAGGAGACAAAATGCTTTTCAGGCAGCCAAACCGGACGAACAACTAGCCTGCATCAGGATATCTCACCTCACGTTTGGCGGCACCTCTGGAAGCTCGAAATCGTCCGGCTTGCCTCCGTTCATGATGATTACATAGTCTGCTGGGTCCCGGTTGTAAGTTATGTGGTTGAGAAAGTGGAGAAGATTAAGCCTGCAAAGTTGGTGTATCAAGTGGGATCAGGTTAACTGCTGGGATTAAGTGGTGGGTTTACACTAAAAGTGGTGGGTTTGCGATGGTTGAGGAAGTGGAGGGGTTAAACCTGCCGGTTCAGAAGATCTGGAATCAAGTGGGGTCAGGTTAACCACCGGGTTTAAGTGGTGGGTTTTATAGTAAAGTGGTGCATTTGCGGATGAAGATGCGAACATTTTCAACCTGCAAAATCGAGTCGAATATTTGTGGAGGAGAGAATTTGCAGGGGATCTGACCCGCCAATTTGAGCGTTTATCAGTTGAGTCGATCGGGCATTGCCGACTCTTGGAGTAGCACAAGCAGTCAAGTAGCTACACAAATTGTCCACGTCACAAACTCAACCTTCCTACTCAACCAGACCAGTGCGTGCCATCCACAAGAGGGGAACTTATTTCAAACATGTCACCAGAGCTCAAGAAGTGCTCAATCCGATTAACACAAGGGATTCAGGGGAGATCTCACACTTGAAGCAACAACGCCAACCATCTTTTGGACGACTTTGTTCAGAGGGTATTGCGACGGGAGAATACCGCGAGGAAAGGAATGGTGTCTACATCAAATCTCTTTGCTTCTCTGCCAAGATTGACGGACACTAGCTTGATAACGATCTAACAGCTCTCGGGGAGGCATGCTGATTGGGGATTGAATATATCACACAACCGGCTGAAGCCGTTTTGTTGCTTTGGAAATTGAAGTCGAAGATCAATCATCATTGTGCTTCAAAAAGTTGGAGATGTAGGTCTTAATACTCGAAGCCATACGCTTTATCTAAGAAGTGATAATAATGCCTTCCCCATTAGGTGCTCAAAGCCACACTGGGATACTATAAAGGAATCTGGACATCTTAAAGGTGCAAATGCTCACCTATATTCAGGGTCTGTGTCTGAGAAGACATACGAAACCAGCGTTTTTGGAAGCGCCCTATCTCTTAACGCCCACCCCGGCGTCTCCATCGACTGCTCTCGCCCCTGAAATGGAGAGCTTCCGGTACACTTAGGAATTTCATCAAAAGGGATTGAAGACAATCCTACCACTGTGTTTTTGAAAGGTCCCTTATCAAGGCACCTTGTTTTGAAGTGGTAGTAACCTCCTTATCTTTATGAATGTTGTCGACTTTGATTTCGAAGGTTGTGCGGTGTGACAAAGAATGAACCCTGTCATGTTGGAGGGGGGAATGCTACAAGCGAAGAGATGCTACTTCATCTTGACACTTGAGACCGTTTCAAAAACCAGTGCAGTCTTCACAAAATCGAATTTACATCCAACTTAACACAGCGTTGTTAGACTTTCACCCGCTAACATCTATCCCCCCACATATGAGAGCTGCGCTTTGCATCAACCGTGTGCTTTCCGCAGCGTTCTTGCCAACCCCGGTGCTTGGTAGATACTCAAACAGAGCCAGGCCCCGGCCCTTGGGGGGCTGCAGAAGAAAGTCTGCAATTCAAGGCACTTTTGCATTCCTAGATGAACACACGTCTATTCCGTACGAATTCAAGTGCCCCAGCACCTAATTTCAACTACTTTGGGACGTTGCTTCTAAATATCAAAATCTGAGCTCGTTGATATGTGTCCTAATTGCATTGCCTCTACGTTTTTGTTATCAAGAAGGTTGAGTAACACCCGGCTTTGAAAGTCTGCTTTGTCCATTGTGCCGTCGCAACTTGAGCATCTGAAAGTAATGATCATCAGCTTCAAACAGCTGCGACCAAAGAAGAGGCGCTTGGTCTTCCTGATTGAGGGGATTCCATTTATTGCTCAAAATGCTGAAGAAAGGCACGACTGGATGAGGAGCACTATCATCGTCGGACCGTCTGGCATGCGCAGACATTCCGCTCTGGCAAGGCAACAATCAAGCAATGCAAACGCTCTCCTACATTTCGTCACGGATCTCAATGAAGGTCTTCAAAAGAGTAATAGTGGACTGAGCGAACACCTAGAGCAGCAAGATAGAGACAGAGACTAAGGAACACAAGCCTCTTTCTAAAATTGAAAGGGGTTTGAGAAAAGCCAGCTTCAAGTTGAAAGGTTGAGAAATGGTACAACTGACGTCATCAAGGAAGCCAGTCAGTTACCTGCAGTTCCCTTCGCCGCCCGCTTGCATACTGCGCGCCCACCCCAAAGGATAGAATTGCGCCACCAGCCACCGCCAACGCACAAAACCAGACTGAAACAAATCTAGCGGACTGCAGCCTGCGAGACTTCATTGTTAATCTGCGCTTATCACGGTGGTTGACCACAACCTGTGTTGTTTCCCAACCACCGCATATGTGTGCTGACTGCAATCTAGACAAACCTAGCTAGTCTTAACAACCATGTACAATCTGTCAAGGTTTGCCGGAGAACAGTTTCTAAGGCTGTCTCTGGAACAGCACTCTCACACTTTTGCAGGATCTACCACCTTTGGAGATGCCGGATAGGTGAACCGCTAGCTGGACAAAAAACATTGAGCTGAGTCCAAGGGATCTCTGAACCGGCTACCCTGTTCCCGCTCAATCTAGAGAACATTTAAACCAGAGATCTGTCCTACTGTCCGCGAAGAGCGGTTTGCATACTCGAAGAAGTGTTTGCCATCGGCTTTAAAGCTAGAGCCCTTGCATGTGCGCCTGTTTTGCCTTTCATGTTTCCTTTAGCCAGGGCTGAAGGTTGCATAGCTGCCAGCTCAACTCAATAAACTTCTCGAAGATGCTGCAGGGAGTCGGAACGAAAGCCTGGAAGCTTTATGACTTTGAAATTGTGTTCTGGCTTTCTGAGCCTTTCTCCCTTTCGCGCGAGCAAGAGCTTTCAACTTCAAGTTTCAAGTTTCACCTTTCAAGTTTCAAATACCAGCTCGTCACGTGCATGCAAGGGATGCAGTTGACTGTTGATCAGGGTGACTCGGAGCTCGTGGGGGTCCTGATGTAATCACTGTCCACGTGATCAAATTCTTTCTTCGATAGTCGATCTTTGACGTCGGTGATCAAGATCGACGGCTGAGCCTTATACGAACTATCAAGCGTCATCTCGGGGAAAGAAAAAAAAAAAAAAAACTCGAGGGGGTCCCGTATTGAAATTCTGCTATGCATAGCGTGCGGTACGGTACCTACCGGTATACCGTATTTTGTGGGTTTCATGTTAACAAGTAGACGTCCTGACCAAATAGTTCTGCCCGGCGAACGGGTGGGTTTCGTATACGGGCTTAGAAACAGATAGGTTGCGAAGAATATAAAACCCTCGTGTCGGTACGAAACCCTGATGCTCGGATTATTCCAAGTCCCGAGCACAGTGCCTGTCTTGGTCAAGGATCAAGATGCCCTTGGTCAACATACAGTGCTGAGGGCCCGCACCGTACTAACTTTCGGGCACACCTAACGAAGATGTCTCACAGCCGTCAGATGAACACCTTTGAAATACGGACGGTCAGATGAGAGCCGCAAACGTGGTCTTCCGCTGCCGTGGCAGCGACAGCCAGCGGAATGGAAACGCCGAATCTGGCGGGGTGAGGGGGCAGGCGCACCACGTCAGCTCGCGTCAGTCATCCATACAGAATCTGATTCACGAACAGTTGCAAGCTAGCATGCTCCCTGGCAGTTCCTACTTCACGCGAGATTTCTTTTCCAGTGCCAGTGGTCGCGTCCATTGCGTGCAGCCGCCGAGATGGAGGTGCGTTGACCGTTGGCTGTGACTTTTGCGGGAGGAGATCTGATGGCGGTCATGTCAAGAATGCGGCTACGAAGAAGCAGGAGAGCATGAGGCAGAAAGGTGAGAAGTCGTGTGTACCTTTGAACCAGCTCCTTGTTTGTTGAATGCTCCTCCTTTATTGTCGAGGATTTTGACACCGCTGAACGAGCTACTTAGTAAGGTAGACGCTTGCCATGGATTCTATGGGAGCTGTGACCTGAACCTGTAATAGGTGGAGAATTTTTCAAATAATTGGTGCACCCTACCAGGGTGACTATCATCCACCTGGAGGTACGCAGTCCCGGGTCATCTAATCAACGCTTTCGGGTCCGGCGTGCTGTGTGGAGAGAGAGAGCGGATAAATCATCAGTTAGCAGAATTCTATTTCAGATGCAGTGAGCTCAGCAGCCTGGGACGCTGGTGGGATTAGCTTGGGGGTTTAGGGCGGGTACGTGTGTGGAGTAGGTAAATTCCGAGGCTTAGGTTTTATTGTGAGGGGCAGGATCTTACTGCTGCTAAAGCGTACAATTGCTGAATTGGAGCAACAAAAGAGGTGGCCAGCTGATCAAAAATCTTAAGGTATCCATGCATAATGCGCAGATTGAGGTGCAGGAAATATGTAAGTGGTTGCTCTGATCGTTGTCGGCAAGCAGTCAATCAAGATGCACCGGTTGTGAATTGCCAGCAGTTGCTGTGAGCAGACATATCTTGGGGTAGACGTACAGGCCTTCAGTTTTGACAAACTTGCTTTTGAATATAGCGAGAAGAAAAGGTAATGCTGAGCCAGTGTTTGGTGCTGCTTTGAGACGCATTTTGCCTGTTTACAAGCAGGACAAAGTGAAGGCTTGGCAGGATGAAGGCGTTGACTCCTCAGGGATCTTTGAAGACTTTTGTTTTGATTCTCGTGCTTCTCGTGCAAAGCTACTGGCTTGGACGTGAAGTGGTAAGATGACTCTAGTTAGATCAGTTTGTATATTGTGGCTATGATGTTGAAGCTGACAAAACAAGCTGACTTGACCGCAACCGTGCTTTATTCACTGGTGCCAAAATCCTGGCTCCTTAGCAACGAACAAACAGCAGATGTAGTGTTCTGTCTATATCCCACATGCTTGACTGTCTGCGAGTTGTCCTTGAGGAAGAGAGCGCTTTTTCCAATTCCCGAATTGTTCTGCACATTGTCTGCAATTTTTCTGCTACCTATCTCCACGAATGTATTTCCAAATTTCCAACATTGCGGCCTGAATCTTGTCAGGTTTTTCGCTTGACTGGACAGGCCAGTTGCATGTCTGATAAGCACGACTGGGAACGTTCAAACGCGTCGGTGCCTTCTCTTCTTTTCACGCGCCACTAAGCTCCGAGAATTGACTAGGCCTGCGGGGCTCAATGACAAGATTTGACTGTCTGGAAGGGCAAGGAAACCACTTGTTTGAAGCCCCAAAATCTGGCCCCCTGGAATTCAGACCCCTCTAAACATGAACCAAAGGGCTCCTTAGACAAATGCTAAGCTGCATCAATTACGAGGGGGTCTGTACAACGTCTGCACTGGCTGCGTCTCGTTAAAGCAGCCCCTTAGCGTATTTATGTGAGCCATCAGATGAGTGTGAGAGTCGCCGACCCAATGTGAAATCTGCATATGCTTGAAGCAATTCGCATATAGACCGGGATTTCAGATGCTGCCCATCCTGTCGCTTGCCCCCTCACAAAAGATTGCTCTGACGAATCCTCTTCTTTTTCGAGTTCTGGTGTGTGAGAAACCTCTGTCGAGACTCCTGCCACCTCTCACCTCGCAAACCCAAGGCGTGTCAGAGCAGACTTTGCCTTCGGCATTGATACCCAATTCCCTCTCTTTGGTGCAGACTGAAGGCCTTGTTCAGAAGCCCTTCGTCCCCTTAATGGGCCATTGGCCACACATCCAAGAAGGATGCAGCCCCCCGCGGGGTCTTTCGAAGCAATTTGTGAAGCAGACGCAGTGGTGACAGAGCTCTCTACAAGGCCCTTGACTGAGGGGTTAGCGAGGGGGAAACAAGCGGGCGGGGAAGAGGCCCTGTCAGAGGGGCTGCGGCGGCTGTGCGAGGGGGGGCCCTGGATCTATGCAGCATTCTGGCAGCACAGGTAAGTCAACGGACAGTGAAGTACTGGCGCTACATCACCTTGAATCTACGCTTCTGAATGAGGTTATTGAAGACAGGCTGTTGGCAGAGGGACTTCGTGTGTTTGGAGTTTGAGGAAAGCCTACTTCAAGGGCATGTGTGTTTTTGCTGCAAGCAGGGCATCGATTTTGAGGAGTCCAAATCAGGAAGCTGATACTCTCCGTGCGAGTATTGTGGCAGTGTTTCACCTTTCCCCTTTAGTCCGGTGTGTCCAAGCTAGATCCAGGCTCACTTCCACTCACCTTGGTACAAAGAGTTGGAGAGTGCAGGGAGAAAACTGCATGAGGCAGGGCGCGAAGTGGCCTGAGTCTTCAAAACGGCTCTGCTCTCACGAACCCATTCACGTTTCCATCTCAACTGATCAAACCAACTGTGCTGACATTACGCATTAGATTCATCACTCCAATGCAGGAATGTATCCTCAGCGCACCATACAGGGCTTAGTTTGCATGCACTCTTTCATCAAAGAAGTGGTTTTGGTGTGAGTTAGGGACACTGAGAATCCTAGGTTCATACTTTCTTAGAACTCGGTAATTACTTTCACCACCTCTGTTTCACCACCTCTGTCCCCCCAGTAAGGTAACCCCCCCTGATTGTACTCTAGCCGCTTGGTTGAAATCCAGAAAGGCCATTCAGTCTGCATAGGTAGACTACCATTCCGGCAAGGTACTTGATTCATCTTTAAAATGTTTGTAAACAGTCACATCATGGTTCTTGCAGAATTGGAAGGTCACTGGGGTCACAAGCAGACAGCCGAGCAGGAGCGTTTTCCCAACACAGCGAGCGGCAGAGTGGGTAAGAACCAGAGTCTTTAACATGTCTCTCGGTCCATGGTCCAAGGCTTTGGGTAGAGCTGTCATTGTGGTTTATCCAATTTTGCCGCACTCAGATCTGACTGTGATAAGGCTTCCCCAAGTTGCGATGCTTGTTCAATCTGCCCCTGTGTCAAGGGGTTTCTGAAGTCGTCAATCTGTGAGCTTTGTTCTGCCTGGGATGCTCTTTTACGGTCACATTGAGAGATTCAGCCCCTTATTCAGTTGGAGCGAGTTCTTACTTCTAGAATTTTAACGCTAGCAGGCCGTCTGACAGAAATCTTTGGGGGGCATTCGTGCAGATCAGTATGCGGTCTCTCTCCTACCAGAGTCTAACCCTGGTTTTAGTGATGTAGGGGTTTTCAAAGCAGTCTCGTCTGACCTACTTCTCAGAATTTTAGACCTCAAGATCCTGCATTCAATGACTCTGAAACTTCTGCAAACTCTCGAGAGCTGCATCGTTCATTTTGGCCCCCGCATTGCCGTGGAGATCCAACCCTAGATTCTCGATACACCTCATATTATGAAATGTCAATTTGACGTTCCTAGAGTCCTCGTTGTGAGAACCCTGGAAACCCCGTTGTGAGATCTTGAGACCCTACAACCTTGCTTAGTGCAAACATTGACCAGTCACAGTGTAAGCCTATGACTTGTCATTTTGAGACTCCAAAACCTTGTGATGGTGTATGTTTGAATGCATTCAATCTTTCTCGTTCAGGAAGCTTTCCTGCACACTGTTCCACAGCAAGATGCTGGCGGCGGAAGCGGGGCGGGGGATCGACTATGAGGCCCTAAGCTTGGCTTTGGCGCGGCTTCGGATGCTGGAATTTGAGAAGGGCGAAGGGTAAGCGTGGTGCAATCGAAGATGCATCCTCTCCCAAGCTGCTTTTCTGACAAACTGTTTCCCCCTTATTTTGACTAAAGGTCTACGATTGCCATCTTCTGGAAATTTTCGATCTTAGCGAAGCAGAGCACGCGCTCCGCAAAGTGATGGATGGCAATGCAGCTTTTGCTGACTTGGGGTTTGGTCATTGCGCACGTCTAGCGGAGTTCGTTTGTTTCGCTCAGGGCCCTGGCCCAGACTAGTTGGTAATGCTGTCACCTGCTTCTCCCAACACCAAGGGCGATTGGTGGTTGTCGCAGAGCCAGACATTAGCTCGCAAATACTCGGATGGACTTTCTCTCTAGGATAAGCTGATATCTACTCTCAGTATTGTATAGTGTATCTAATTCGTGAGAACCACTACAGCGTTCCGAGCGTTCGTCCAAGGGCGATTGGTGGCTGTTTCTGTGCTGGCCATCAGCTTCCAAAGGCTCAAAGACTCATTTTTTCTCTCTGGATGACGTGATGACTGGTTGGCTCTCCGTATCATTTTCCCTGACTCTTGAGAACCTTTACAGAATATTGGGCGAAGCTGCGGATTCGTCCGAGGGCGATCGATGGCTCTCGACAAGCCCCAGCGGATATCGAGTGCGACCGGCCGTTGCGACGGGAGGCTCTGACAAGGTACATCGCCAGATGACGTCAAGCTGGGTTTGTCTTTGGGACAACTCTGGATTTTTGGATCTTCATTTCGACAATCGCATGCGCCTTCCGAGTAGAGTTTCTGGCGTTGAACTAACGGATACCACTGGGGCACGTCGTAAGCTGACGTCACGTCCTGCTTGCAAGCTGCAGAAACAGACACCTGGTTCGTAAGTCTCACATCTTTGCACGACGGGGAGGCAAGACCGAGCAGTGCATTCATGGTCAGTCGAAAGCGTTATAAAGATATGAGTAGATGGAACTATAAAATGATGTGGACTTCTTGGGAATATTGAGAAGGGGGTGATGGGTGCGCTTCGCTCCTCTGCTTAATATTCCAGTTCTTGTATCTGGTCATCAGAGGCTTTCTGGTCTCGTATTTCGGCAGAACACAACAGCCTCTCTACAGGATTTTGACGGATTGGGACAAAGCCAAACGATATACTCAACAACGCATAAGGAATGATTCGTCTTGTTGACGAAAAAGCTTGCTCTCTGCAGGGGGACGATCACTGGCGAGCCCAGTTTGCCGCAGGCCTTGAGGTGCGTTTCCTGAGTTGCAGCGTCTCCGGACCCGAGAATTCCGTGTTTTTTTGTATGCGTTGCTATTCTGAGTTGCCGTGTCAGGCGGATCTTTCAGAGTAAAGGGTTTTTTCCCAGATACTTCTTCTCCTACATTGGCGTCACAGCCTGGCTGCCGATTCTCTCTTGAGTATTTCCGAGTGTCTCTACCTTGTTCTAAACGAGTGCTCTTATGCACATTGCGTTCCTGTTTCTGCATACGGACCTGGCCAGCTTCGTATCGTTCGAGTCACTGGCAAACTACCTTAGAACCTGGCCGGCTTTGTATCCTTATCCACTGCAAATCTGTGCCTCCGAGAACTGATCCTGCCCTGCGTGCAGCAATTGCAAATTCAATAGGCCGCTTGATCCATCAATGTTTCTATCATCTTGATCGTAAAGAGCTTCTTTCAAGCTCCAAACAGTGTTAATCAGTCTATTCATTAGCGGGTTTCTTGTGGTTCAAAGCGAGGTAGTTGTGGCCCGCTGTTCAAATATGCGCTTTTGGTTTTGCCATATGGACTTCGGTTGCTCTCGTTGAGCTTGACCTGGGTCAATTGTTTCGCTTGACACTACGGAGACTCTTCCTCTCGAATACCCAATGCGTTGTTGCTAGTCTATTCGCCTTCCGTGAACACCCTAGATCCCCATACATCTCATTTGCTTGATTGATTTTGGAAACCTCTCCTGCATTCCTTTTTTCCTCCTCCGTTTCTTTCCTCCTTTCTCAATGCTATCTATGCCCAAAGGCATTCCCGGCAAGCGAGAAAAGTCAAACCCTTGCCCCCTGTCGTGACTGTTCTTCTTTCTTCTGCAGACTGTACTGCTGACGTCATTCCAAGGGTGTCTCCTCCAGCTCGGATCCATTGAGAAGGTAATTGCCTGATTGGCAGAACACATTATGCTCATCCCAAGGCCGTTGGCTGGAGGCACTGATCACAGTCGCTGTTTCTGACCAACCACAGCTCATGCCGTCGCGGTTGAAAGCGGGTGGAAATGCGGTCAGAATTTCCGTAAGCCGTGATTTCCGCTTTTGGCGCCATGCTCCGTATTCTGGCTTGTACATGATTCCATAAGGTCCTTGCAGCAGTTCGAAGTTTTGCACTAGACAGACTACCGGCTGTCCTTTTGTGGCGCAAGTTCTGCTTTCCATCAAGACTCTTTTGTTGACATATACTTTGCTCGCACCCAACGGGCAAAAGTGAACTGCGATACCTTGCTTTCATGCACAGTCCCTCACGCCGGACCTTCTCCCCCTTCGCAGCTGCAAGAGGATCCTGCAATCGCCGTGCAAGCCTGCACTGTTTTCCTGCCTTACTTCGCGGCCGCGCTGTCGTCCGCCCTGGACCTGCCCAACCCCCACGCGTTCATAAACCCTCCCACCTCCGAGCGCTACGACGAGTTCCGCTACCCCTTCGGCACCGATGGCGCCTACCCCCCCAGAAGCTCAGACTACTTTCCCCAGGCGCGAAACGACCTTTGGAAGCCCCCCGCCCGCAATGTGTTCGGGCCCGCCAACCCGTTCGTCCCCTCCAAGCACTCGTCACGCCTCCCAGGCGGTGGCTCGTTCTTCCGAGGGGGATCCCCCTCGGTGCTCCCCGTGACGCGTTCTCCTGCCGGGCAATATCGTGATCGCCCAAACCCCGCACAGAATGGCCGCAGCTCCTTGCACCCGTTTACCGGTGCCCCACAGAGCGCGCGATCGACGTGGAGCGACGGTCAAGAGCGCAATGCTCCCCTCCAACCCCCCGCCTGCGCCGGCCCCGACTTTGGGCCGAGTATCTATCAGAGGCTGTTAGAGAAAGCCGGGCAAGTGCATACTGCGGCGCCGTCTCTAGGGACATCGCAGTTTGACCTGAACGCTCCTTCTCCTTCACCCACGTGGTTTCCGGATCTTGGACAATCTCTAGAGGATTCTTATGGTGGTTTCCAGGGCCGCGCAGGATCCGACGGGCAACCTATGGAGGAATCTTACGGTAGCTTGCGGGGCCTTAACGGTTCTGGTGGGCCGAGAGACGCGCTGACCAGATTAGCAGAGACGGTCGCTGATGTGCAACAGAAGGGAAGCGACTTTGGGGTGAGTCCGAGCCCCGGCGTTTCGAGAAGGGCGAACGATCTTCTCGGTCGGTTAGAGTCGAGAAATCAGGGGGCGAGTCCTTGGCAGGGCGCGCCGTCGGAAACCCAAACCCGATTCGATGACGGGATGTTTAACGCGGGGGCCACGGACTACCGTGAAAGTAGGGGTGGGTCAGGAGCGGCACATTTTCAGGGTGGCGACGAAACGGCGCTGGATTGGGGTTCAAGAGAGGAGGCGTTCCGCCTCCAAGAGAGCTTCCTGCGGCTGCAGGAGCAACTGGAGCAGCGGACTCGAGAGCGGCGACCGTTCTTCCCGTTGGCCCCCGGCCATGGTCGCCAGACGAGTGGTGGGATGCCTTTGCTTGAACACGAGGGGTTGGTATGCGCATTGAAAGGAGAGGCGGCGGCGCAAGAGGTGCGGTTTACGTGGAATCCGGCGTCAGCGGATGAGACCGGGCAACAGCGGCACAGCCCCGTGCAACAACCGGGGCAGAGCGATCGGCCGGAGGGGGGGTTCGGCTATGAGGAGATCTACACGCCCCGTACTCATGCGGAACGGGGCGCGCAGGACGACTCGAGCGGCGGGGAAAGGAGCCTCCTCTCGCACTCGCACTCGAGCAGAGAATCGGATGGCGGGGCGGAGAGAACTAGGGGGGCGGGATTCCCGTACGCAGGCAGGGTTGGGAGGGCGTGGAACAATGACCCGGCGACGCCGTCGCGGCGGCAATTGGAAATGGAGACCATTTTCGAGAACGAACCGGTTGCGCTGAGGCCCTGGGAAAAAGGGAGGCAGACGTGGTACTCAAATCTGGAACACTTGCGGTCGCTGGTTCCGAATACTTCCCAGGTGAGATGCTATGGAGAGATTGCAAACGAAGGGTGCTGGCAAGATAAGCTCGGGAGTGTGATGGCACTCGTTAGGTTTATCGCACTTTGCAGAACAAGGAGGTTAAGTCAAGCTTTGGCGATTGCAGTGGATCCTCCGAGCAGTGTCCGCAAGGACGTCCCAGACTGAAGTTGGGTCATGGTGTTTGTGTGCTTGAGGGCTCGACCTGAGAAATCTGAGTTTAATAGGTAGTCACTTGACGAGGAGTGCTCTCATCGCCTCGCTTGGCACACATCCCTGCTCACACTCTGCATCAAATCGGATACGTGCTCACTTCCAAACCCAAGCGATACGACCGTTCGACTCGCTAGCCAAGCTTTGCAGTACGTCCAGGTCTTGCGGTTGAGAAGCCCACTTGTTAACAGCTGTGACACGTGCTTTCTTTGCAAGAAAGAAGTTCTGTCGAACAACATTGTACAAATACCATCCTTTGGACGTTCGGCTTTTGGGATTCTTATGCCCCATTACGAGTTCGATCTGGTCACGTCTTGCTTATGTATTGAACGAATCTAACCAAGAAATTCAGCTTGTTTTGAGTCGCTCAGTCTCTCTCTTTTTGATAGCCACGTAGGGAGCGCTTCCGTGTTGACAATGTGAACCATCAAGAGACAATTTGAATCCTCAATAGACAATTTGAACCTTTTTTAAGGGGTCTAGCTACTTTACCAATCTCCTTTTCTACCTTGTCTGCAGTTGAAGCTGGAAGATCTCCTTGACCGTGCTGCGAGGCACATTTCGGAGCTGAGATCACAGATCGCGTCAGACAGCAACAAGGGCCGCCCAGAACCGTTCCGTGGGTACACCGTTTTGCCCTGGAGGGTGTCTGAAGGGAAGACGCTGGCCGTTGAGGAGCTGTCGAGCGCACAGCTCATTTTGGTTGAGGTAAGGTCACCAATCTCCAATTGATCTTCGTCGTTTCGACTGCTTTTGACTGAGTAGATCAGATTCAATGAACAAGCCTCAGGGTGGTATCGACCAGAAGCCGGTGGTCGTGAGGAGTTATCTTCTGGCTGTGAGGAGCTGTCGAGCGCACAGCTCATTTTTGGTTGAGGTGAGGTCACCAATCTCCGGTTGCCTCTGTTCTTCGAAGTTATCGAGCGCACAGCTCATTCTGGTTGAGGTGAGGTCACCAAATCTCCAGTTGCCTTTGTTGTTCGACTGCCGATGAATGTGTAAGTCTGCGCTCACTGGACAAGCCTCAGGGTGGTTTCCTTAAATGCATTTTGTGAAGCGGCTCGCTGCAGCCTTACAAAGACAGTTCGTTGCAGCAGTGGTCTTCTGAGTTTCGTGTGACCTTCTTCAAGTCTCCTTGAACAGTATCTTGGTCGGACTCAGTTGGTTGGTATTATGCATGTGTTACGAGGGAACTGTTCCGAACGAAGTAGTCCAAGCGAGTTCGGTGTGAAGCGTGGATGGATGCACGTGCGTTTTCCGTTCTCTTGTTGCTTAGAGCGAAAATCTGTTGCTCAGAGCATCCAAACCTGTTTCCAGAGTTGGTATACGTCCGTCCTTGTGCAGGCCTATTTTGAGAGCGAGACTGGCGTCCCGCAACTCGCCAAGACCCTCTGCACCGAGGGAAGAGAACTGTGTTTCATGCTGGTTGAGGCTGTTGGCAAGTCGACTCGTGCACGCTTTGTTGTAAAGGTAAGCGTTGGGTTCATCTAATCTAAGCTTTTGAACAGCTTGGCAGAGGTGCTTGCTTGACATGTGAATCTGCTTCTTTTGAAAGCATTTTGTGTATCATATGGACCAGTTCCACTTTCTGGTTGTTTCACGGATGTGACGTGTTTGGCAAAGTGCTTTGAAAAAAGTTTTGAATTATATGCTGGAGCCGTAACGATTGATATATGTTTTCCTTCTCTCTCAGGTGATTGATGCAATCAGCACGGAGGATCTGCTTTCAAGTCTTGAAGGACGTTAGGCTTCGAGTGATGGTAATATGTGCCCTGGAACCGAGAAGGTGTTTTGGATCATGTGTAGACCCTGAGAAAAGTCGTTAAATGTTTGTAAATAAACGTATTGACTTGTCTTAAAGAGGAACAGGTGACGCGCACCCTAGATATAGGGCACTGCGTACTGAGACCGCAACGTAAGGTAACTTAGGTTAACCATGAGCAAAGAGATCGCGAGGGCGTCCCTTAGTTGAGAGCCTTCTGAGTAACTAGCAGAGGAGCAAGCGGCTACTTTGACAGCTCTTCAACATTTTGATTGTCACTGAGCAGGAGGCGGGCGGCCAGAGTGGTTAGACTGAAAGTGGCTGCTTGTGCTTTACTACGAGGGCCCGATCCTTATGATGTATGATATGCTACTAAGATGGCAGTACGTCGATTTCAACGTGCTCAGCATTCTGGGTTGTACCTTTGGTTAAAAGTCAATAAGAATTGTCATACTAAAGGTTCAGAAGACCCGGTGACCAGCCAGGGAAGTTATGCAGTTAATCAATCCCCAAGCCAGGTTTATTTCTGGATGAGAAGGCCGCCCATCATGTCTAAGATCGGATGGTGGCAGCCTCCCATCCGACATGGCCTGGAACTACGGTACCGGACCTGAGTCGCAGGGCTGCCCTCCATGATTGTCAATCAACATGACCATTCATTTCGACCAGAATGGTTCTAGTATACCTCATTTCGACCAGAATGGTTCTAGTATTCTTACCCGATGGGAAATTTCGTTAATTTGACCGTGTATGTACTGACTCATACACTAGTGCCATTGCAAATGATACTTTAAAAGACATCTGCATGCAATCTTATACGTGACTTGCACGTTGCGAAAGATTAGACGTCCATGGTGCCACCTCCGATATGGTCTCGAGCCTTGCGGAGCTCATCAGATTGATGTTAGCATCTTTAATTCGATCATGGAGCGAACTTAGCCTTAGCTTGTTACGTACGTATCATTCAATGCATGTTCTAGCTATATACATCCGAAAAAGAAACTGACCTAAAGCAAGCCACACAAGATCGCACCTGGTGTTGTGCGCACGTATTGCGAGTTGCAACACGGCCCGTAGCTGCCATGCAGGCACCTAGTGACTAAATAAATAGTGCTTCAGCTGCATACAAGCGACGACCGCCGCAGCAGACGATCCGACGGTGCCTACGCGGGCCGCGCGCGCTATGATTGAGGCAGCTAGGTGTATGCGCTGCATATATTCAGGCATCTCGCCTGTCTCCCCAATTGCTCAATGACCTTCTTGAAAATATGAGGCCGGAACCATATAACTGCAGGATCGTGCAGCATGCACATGATAAATTGTTTGACGTGAAAGTACGAAATTCGAATCCTCAGTGCACCACGCCTCATGATCGCCGCCTTTTCTTGATCGACTGGCCCGGTCCGGCCGACCGTTTGGGCCAGTTTTACGTGAGCATGTCTGTTGGGCTGGTATTACGGTTGCCTAAACCTACTTTGAAGGGAGAGTATCAGCTTTTAGCGCAGAAAAGCGACTTCACAACTCTCCCTTTCAATTCAATGTAAACCAAGGGCTTGTTGCATTTCGCTGTTCTAGCACGTGACCCTATTTGAACACAAGACGGTTAAGCACAATTCAGCTTGCCGAAAGCTTTGGTCAAGATGGCCTCTTCGATTGGTACAAGCAGCTTCAGGACGGACGTCCTAGCACGCTCTCAGCAATACAGGCATCCAAGAGACGAAAGTCTATGAAGCAGCATGACTCGAACTCAAGTTACTTGAACAGGGGGCCCCTGTGGTAACTTTAACACTTTCTTAACCTTCGTCGAGAACCACTTCTGGGGTCAGGTGGACTGGAGCTACGGAGCCGATTCTGCCTAGGCATGACTTCTTGTATTAATTCTTGATCGATCCTGTTTAATTTGAGCCGTCCGTTTTCCGAGGAAAAAAATCTCGGCCTTCAGAAGGCTGCAGTAAAATTGTGGGCCCGCAAACGCTAACCCCCCTCTTCGCTAACCCCCTCTTCGCTAAACGCTAACCCCTCTCTTCGATGGCCCGTCCTCCGGACAGCCCCTGAGCGCTTTGCACCGCCCCTTCTTCCACGTGGACGTCTCCAGCCCAGATCCACTGATCATCGGATTTCTGGCCCGTCGCAACGGTTAAGTGGTATAAGACCAAGAGCTCTGCGAACGTCATCGTGACAGGTTGAAGTTTCAATTTTTCAAGTCCTGGCTGTGAAGCGCTTGCATGATGTTCTTTCTTTCCGGAGAACAGTGTTGATGTCGGACTTGTCGAAGACGCCTCCGGCTGACGAGCACGACTCGACCATCGAATGTTTCGTTCTTGCTTTCTGGGGGTCCTAAACTCAGCTCTCGCGCCCGTCTCCTGTTTCTTGCCCTTTGCCCCCAACAGGCTGGAAACACCTCTCGGTGTGAAAACAGACAGGGCAGCCTCTCCTTGCCCGGGGTTCCGTCACTCATCAGATCCTCCGCTTTCGCGACCCCCATCACCATCCCGGTTTTTGCGCATCCGCAAACGCTTACCTTCGCCGTGGGCCCGTCGTTCGGACAGGCCCTCCAGCTAGGCCCTCCTTCGCACTTTCCCGCGCTCTATCCCTTGGCCCTCAGCCTGCTGACGTAAGTCCGCCTCTTGTGGAAGGACCACCGAGAAAACCCTCAGCGCTTAGCCGCCGCTCTTTCCGTCACGTCACCGTCACGTTCCTGCCCCTGCCCCTAGTGTTATCCCCGGCCAGAACCTTAGCGTCATTTTATGCCCGACACAGCCGTACCCCTTTGCCCGGTGGTCTGGTAATCCCCCCTCCCCGGCAGACCCTGCTTTGGCGAAACGCCCACCAGCTTCGCTTTCTCTCCCCCCTTGCCGCAAACCCATGCGCCCCGGGTGTAAATTTTCTCCGAGCTCATTGACCAAACTCGTTTCATAGGGTGGTATCTTCTTGCCTGAGGAGGGAAGGGTCTCCTCGACGCCCTGTTTGCGAAAGACAGTTTGGTATGAGTTTAGATTCCGGCTTTCTGACCCTGAATCAGCAAACGATGCAGGCCAGCGGCAGGTGTACGTGCACTGCTGGGCTGGGGTGTCACGAAGCCCCACGCTGTGCATAGCGTATCTGATGAAGCACCGCGGCTTATCGTTGAAAGAAGCGGAGGAGCATGTCAGAAAGGTGCGTCCGACCATCAATCCAAACTGGGGGTTCCGAAAACTGCTGCGAGAGTATGAGGAGACTCTTGAAGGAGAGAAAGGTGCCCAGAAGAAGTTAGGAACTAGGAGCGGGGACGAGGGTGACGTGGCAGAAAATGGAGAGGAGACGGAGCGTTCGAGACAAGATGATACTTAGACACAGTGTCAACTCGGCAATGATGTGGATTCAAGGGATGCCGTCGAGGATCTAGAATCGGGATCTAGATTTTAAATCAGGGAGAATGACAAAGAGTACCAGCTTTTGTATCTGCCCAAAATATGGGGGCCCTCCACCAAGGGATAGGCGACGGGAGGATCCTCCAATGGTTGCACGTCGTCGGTGGCCGGACGACGTGGCGCCATAATAATGTCATCACCCACTATCGGCAATGACCCAATAATGAGGGATGATCTCATGATCATCACCAGGTATATACTACCTATATAGCTAGCTGCGAACCGTTACAAGCTGTATTACCTAGCAGAAAAGTAGGTAACGTGATCGACAGCATAGACTCTGGTTTGTCTAGACTCTAGAGTCTGGTCGGCGGACGTCGCTACCTACTGGCCGCTGGCAGATTCTCGCAGCTGGATGATAAAGTCTGACATATGACACAGTAGGTATGTCAGAAGATTCACAGGTGTATTCACTGTAGTATACCTATCCCGGCCCAGACAGCTCTCGAGAGCAGCCACGTGCACCACGCGTACTTACAAATGTGTCCACTCAGCTGAGTCGCCTCCGTCAGTCAAAATTATGGGGAGAGGAAACGGATGGCGTATTGCCGTACATGGGGTAGCCGGAACTAACCGACGACCGTACTGTACTACTGTAGGTACTGATGTACACGTGCTCTGTACAGTGTACGTACAGTAAGCTCGGCAGTGGACCTCCGACTGCGGGACCGTATTTTCAGCTAATGCGAAGCCCCGCCGGCAAGTCGGCGGCAACCCACTTGCTTTGTCGCTTGCTTCGGATTGGGTCACGTGGGAAATTGTTAGTTGGATTCTGACAAAGTCCGTACAGTCCGTCCGGCCTGTCAGACAGACCGCGTGCGTCTGGTACCGCCGAGGAATCGCACCTCAACTCCGGGTTAGCGTGATGAAATCTGGGGGCATTCTAGAGTCTGGACCAACTTGAGCAAGAATCAGAGCAGTCACCATATACGGTTAAACAACTTGTCGGTAAACCGGGAACCCTGACCCTTGATAGGGAGACAAGGCTCTTACTACTTAGGTACCGGTACCACAATGCGGGATACCGTACGACAATGGTGCTCTGCCGATCACAGTACGTTCAGGCCTGATAGTAAGTACCAGTCATGAGCCAAGACTCGAGATCCGGAAAGGACGCCATGCAGGATCCGGATTTCGAAGCACAAGGTGCTCGTGACGCGAAAAGGTAACGTAAACCGTACTCACCTAAGTTTAGGTACGCATTGCGGGTTGCAACACTACCGTACGCGCACGCTCATTTAGCACCTGCCTCCTCCAAATATTTAATTTCGTTCGTTTTGCATTTTCGCACTGGCCGTCTCACAAATATTTTGCACTTTTCGCGTTTTCGCACTTGAAAATCTTAGAATATTTGGAATTTTAGCAGTTCGCAGTTCGCGCGTGGCCGGGCAGCGCGGCCGCTCAACCATAGCGGCCGCGGGCCCGCCGCGTGCAGCCTGCGCGCGGCCCCCGGCCGGCCGCCGCTCGGCCC